CAAAGCTCAAAGACAAAGAGAGAATCCTAAAAGCAGCAAGAGAAATATGTCAAGTCAAGTCTTTAAAAAGAGAACTACCACCAGACTAATAGCACACTTCTCAACAGAAACTTTATAGCCCAGAAGAAAATTAGATGGTATTTTCAAAATACTAAAAGAAAAAAGCTGCCAGCCAAGAATAGTATACCCAGGAAGGCTATCTTTCAGAAATGAGGGAGAAATAGTGTATTTTTCAGACAAAAACTGTAGGAGTTCACCACCACATGACCAGCCCCAGAAGAAATCCTCAAGGGAGTCCTGCATCTGAAATGCAAAAACACAATAATCACTACCACTAATATACAAGAAAGAACAAAACCGACTGGTAGAACAAAAATGCAAAAGAGAAAGACAAAGAAACTAAATCTTACCACTTCAAAAAAACAACAAACATCAAAGACAAACAATAAAAGAGCAAGAAAGGTACAAAAGATATTTAAAACATCCAAATGAAAAATTATAAAATGCTAGGACAATACCTTTCAATAACAACCCTAAATGTCAATGGATTAAATTCCCCACTAAAAGACACAGACTGACTGACTGGACTAAAAAGCTAGACCCAACTATATGCTGTCTTCAAGAGACTCTCCTCATCTGTAAGGATGCACATAGTCTAATAGTGAAGGGATGGGAAAAAATATACAATGCAGATGGAAACTAAAAATGAGCAGGAGTAGCTATTCTTATATCAAATAAAATAGACTTTAAACCAAAAACCCTAAAAAAAGACAAAGGCCACTATATAATGATAAAGGGATCTATCCAGCAAGAAGACATAACAATCATAAATATATATGTACCCAACACTGGAATACCAAGATATATAAAACAAACACTATTAGGCCTAAAGAAAGAGATAGACCCCAATACAGTAATAGTAGGGGACCTGAAAACCCCTCTCTCAGCAGCAGATGGACCACCTAGGCAACAGAAAAAACACAGTATTAAGACCACTCTTTAGACCAATTGGTCCTGGCAGGTATCTACAGAACATTTCATCCAACAATTACAGAATATACATATTCTCATCAGCACATGGAACATTCTCCAAGATAGACCACATATTAGGTCACAATTCAAATCTCAACAAATTTTTAAAAATTGAAATCATTTCAAGTAACTTTTCAGACCACAGCAGATTAAAACTAGAAATCAACAACAAACAAAACTCTGGTAACTATCTAAAGTACATAAAAACTAAACAACATGCTCCTTAACAACCTGTGGGTCCAAGAAATACTTAAACAGGAAGTCAAATTATTTCTTGGAACTAATGAAAATAAAGACACATCATACCAAAACCTGTGGGAGACTGCAAAAGCAGAGAGAAGTTTATTGCAATAAATGCTTACATCAAAGGAATGGAAAGATTTCAAATAAACAACCTAACACTACACCTCAAAGAATTAGAAAAACAGGAACAACCCAATCCCCAAATTAGTAGTCAGAAAGAAATAATTAAGATCAGGACAGAACTAAATGAAATAGAGGCCCACAAAACAATACAAAAGATCAATGAAAAAAAAGTTGGTTTTTTGAGAAGATGAACAAAATAGACAAGCCATTAGCTAGGCTAACTAAAAAGAGAGAAGACCCAAAAAACACAAATCAGAAATGAAAAAGGAAACATTACAACCAATATCACAATATGAAGAATCATTAGAGACTATTATAAACTATTTTCCAACAAATTTGAAAACCTAGAGGAAATGGATAAATTTCTGGACACATACAAACAATGAACTAAACCAAGAAGAAACAGAAAACATGAACAGACCAATAAAAAACAATGAGATTGAAGCAGTAACCAGCAGTCTCCAAACAAAGAAAAGCCCAAGTATGGATGGCTTTACTGCTGACTACTACCAAACCTTTAAAGAGGAATTAATACCAATTCTCTTCAAACTATCCCAAAATATTGAAAGAAGCCATTCTCCCAAAGTCATTCTATGAAGCCAGCATCACCCTGGTAACAAAACCAGACAAAGAAACAGCAAAAAAAGAGTACAGGACAATATCTCTATTGAACATAGATGCAAAAATTTTCAACAAAATATTAGCAAACAGCAAACAACAATGTGTCAAAAAAATTATATACCATGATCAAGTGGGATTCATTCCAGGCATACAAATATAGTTCAACATACACAAGTCACTAAATGAGATACACCACATCAACAAATGCAAGGACAAAAAATACATGATTATCTCAATAGATGCAGAAAAAGCATTTGACAAAATTCAACATCCTTCATGATAAAAAGACCCTCAGAAAATTAGGTGTAGAAGGAAAGTACCTCAAAACAATAAAGTCATATAAGGCAAACTCACCACCAAACCATCCTGAATGGATGATGGAAAAACTTTCAGCTTTTTTCTTAAGAACAAGAGCAAGACAAGGATTCCTACTCTCACTGCTCTTATTTAACATAGTATTAGAAGTACTAGTCAGAGCAAACAGGCAAGAGAAAGAAATAAAGGGTATCCAGATTGGAAAAGATGAAGTCAAACAGTCCCTGTTTGCAAATAACATGATCCTATATAAAGAAAAACCTAAAACCTCTAAGGAAAAACTTAGAGCTGAAAATGGTTTCAGTAAAGTTTCAGAATACAAGTTCAACACAGAAAAATCAGTAGTGTTTGTATACTCCAATAATGAACTAGCAGAAATAGAAATCAAGAAAGCTAGCCCATTTACAATAGCCACAAAAAAATAAAATACCTATGAATCAATTTAACCAAGGAGGTAAACTATCTCTACAATAAGAGCTACAAACCACTGCTGAAACAAATTAAAGAGGACCCAAAAAGATGGAAATATATTCCATGCTCTTGGATTGGAAGAATTAACATTGTGAAAATGTCCATGCTACCCACAGCAATCTATGGATTCAGCACAATCCCTGTCAAAATACCAATAACATTCTTCTCAGAAATAGAAAAAACAATCCTGGTGTTCATATGGAACAACAAAAGATTCCAAACAGCCAAAGCAATCCTGAGCAAAAGAAACAAAGCCAAAGGCATTATACACTACCTCACTTCAAATTATACTACAAAGCTGTAGTAACCAAAACAGCCTGGTACTGGTATAAAAACAGACACTCAGACCTATGGAACAGAATAGAGAACCCAGAAATCAACCCACATACTCGCAACCAACTGATATTTGACAAGGGCAACAGAAGCATACCTTGGGGAAAGGACTGCCTCTTCAATAAGTGATGCTGGGAAAACTGGACATCTGTATGTAGAAGAATGAAATTAGACATGTACCTTTCACCATATACCAAAATCAATTCAAAATGAATTAAAGACTTATATATGACCTGAAACTACAAAATTGCTAAAAGAAAATATAGGGGAAACACTTCAGGGAGTAGGACTGGGCAAAGGTTTTATGAACAAGATCCCAAAAGCACAGGCAACAAAAGAAAATATAAACAAATGGGATTATATCAAACTAAAAAGCTTCTGGACAGCAAAAGAAACAACAGAGCAAAAAGACAACCTATAGAATGGTAGGAAATACTATGCATCTGACAAGGGATTAATATCCAGAGTACACAAGGAATTCAAACAACTTAACATTAAAAAAAAACAAGTAACCTGATGAAAAAATGCAAAGGAGCTGAATAGGCATTTCTCAAAGGAAGATATACAAATCACCAACAGACACATGAAAAAATACTCAACATCACTAAGCATCAGGGAAATGCAAATCAAAACCATGTTGAGATATCATCTCATACCAGATAAACTAGCCAGTATGAAAAAGACAGAGAATAACAAATGGCAAGGATGTGGAGAAAGGGGAACCTCCCTACACTGTTGGTGGGACTGTAAATTATTGCAGCCATTATAGATAACAGTACAGATATAACAAACAAGTACAGATAGAACTGCCATATGATCCAGCAATCCCATTGCTGGGTGTATATCCAAAGGAATGGAAATCATCATGTCAAAGGGATACCTGCACTCCCATTTTATGGCAGCTCTATTTACAATAGCTAAGAGTAGGAACCAACATAAATGTCCTTCGGCAGATGACTGGGTAAGCAAAATGTGGTAAATATACACAATGGAATACCACTCAGCCATAAAAAGGAATGAAATTCTTCCATTTGCAGCAATATGGATGAACTTAGAGAAAATTATGTTAAGTGAAATAATCCAGGTACAGAAAGAGAAGTACCACATGTCCTCACTCATAAGTTGAAGCTCAAAACAAACAAACAAACAAAAAAGAAAGATACAACAATCACAATAATTCCTTGAACTCTCAAAAGGAGAGAATGGAACAGAGGCCACCAGAGGTGGGAAAGGGTGAGGGGGGAAGGGGATTGGGGATAAATTGGTGAAGCCACAAAAAATGTTTACATTGTGTAATGATAAAATGAAAAAAAACTATTCTTATATTGTATAATGAAATGTGCCAATATTTGGGAGATCTGCATAACTGACCACTGTGTGATTTTACAAAATTAAGCCTGGTAAAATATCTATCCAACGTGCAAGATAGACCAGTGGATGGATATTAAGGTAAAATTTATATACCATAAAATTGACCAGCAGGTGGCAGGCTAGATTCAGCCTTCGAAGGCTGAGTTTGGTGACCCCCATGTTTGAGTAAAAAGAAAATCAAACTTAAAATAGTATGGACTGATGATCTGAGCTATTTAAAGTCATGTTGGGGCCAGCCCGGTGGCACACTGAAGAGTGCGCCGCTTGGGAGCATGGCGGCGCTCCCGCCGAGGGTTCGGATCCCATGTGGAGACTGGTTCCCGCTCACTGGCTGAGCGCGGTGCAGGCGCAACACCGAGGGTTGCGATCCCGTTGCCGGTCAGTAAAAAAGACAAAAAGGAAAAAATAAATAAATAAATAAATAAAGTCATGTTGTTTTGTTTTAGCAACTGGACATAAAATATTTGCCTCTTTGTTTTTTTTTTTAACAGGCTCTGGAAATATGGCGGTGTCACATCCCATTGCTGCCAGCACACCGGAAGGGAGCAGTTATGGGGCAATAGGTATTTCCTACAATGAGTCCATTCATGAAAGCATCTCCTATTTGTCCAGAGAATAGGATACAAAGGGACCTCCAGCCATGAATAAGTGTGAGCACAGACAAAACAGTTATCTTATGAGATTTGACTTTTATTTATAAAATGAATTGGTTGGACAATCTGGAAGGTTCTTTCCAGCTCTAACTTTCTCCAGTTCTGTTGTTCTGTTTCTTGGATCTGCTAGCTACACTTGGACAGAATTCCCTACAATGGTTGCCATCAACTACCAAGACCCCCAGGGACTTTTTTATAACCAACCTGAGTTTAGGGCATGAAAGGTGTGTCACAGGGAGCCCGACATCAATTGACCGGTTGTTTCATTCTCAGGTTTCAGTGGAGTAAGGGCGATCAGAAGACTAAGGCAGTGCTGCAGGTGAACATGTCCATAGCCTCACAATCCTTCATTTTGGCTAACTTCATAGATGAACCTGCTTACTGCCCCGAGTCTTCTCAGGTTTCAGTGGAGTAAGGGCGATCAGAAGACTAAGGCAGTGCTGCAGGTGAACATGGCCATAGCCTCACAATCCTTCATTTTGGCTAACTTCATAGATGAACCTGCTTACTGCCCCGAGTCATTCACATGGCAAACCCCAGTGTTCAAGTGGCCTGAAAGGAATAGAAACCCTACACCTGTCTTGTTAGGGCAGGAGTGCATTGAGCTGCCTGCCCCTTCCATGACTCTTGTGGGCCTAGAGATGGTGCTTCTTAAAATGTCAGGGTAGATGGACTGAGAATCCTGCATTCCTGCCCTATTATTCTGTAGCTTTGAGAAGCATGTGGGTTCAGTACAGGCTACGTATTTTTAGTTCTGTAAGAACAGGATTTTTTAAAACCATCTGAACAGAAGAAATAAAGCGGAAGGTAGGCTCAGCTCATGTGCTCTTCAAGCTGTACAAATTCCCATCTGCTCTGGGAAACATTCGTAGGAACAGAAGGATTCTCTTCCTGAGAATGTTATTTTCATTATATAATCATAGATATGGCATGTGGGGGATTTCTGTATACATATACTTTATCTATGAGAAATGTATAGCTGCTGGATATGTGTGTGCTTACACATATATGTGATAGATGCTATACATAACTATGTGCATGTGTTTGCATATATATTTATGTTCATATTTTAAATATGAAACATGAAATATAAGCACAAGTTTATTTTTGCATCCAAATAGTTAACAGAGCAGATGTCCTTATATTCTCATATGTATTAAGCCCTGGAGATAGACAAATTAAATATAAAAATAGGAGAAGAGGAAAAATAAAAGTTCATTGAGAAGTAATGGAGAAAAAGAATGTCTCATGGGTAAGGAGTTACTTTTAAACCAGCCCAGTATTTTCTAGAATGAATCAGCACTGTGTTTTTTGCAGAGAGGAATGGGCTCTGTGACTCTTCTTGGCTTTTGAAGGCAGATGAGTTGTCTCTGTTTTAGATGAGTCAAGCTCCAGTCCTGGAAGGCAGATGTCCTCCTCTGATGGTGGGCAGCCATGCCACTCAGACACAGACAGCTCCGTGGAGGAGAGTGACTTCGACACCATGCCAGATATTGAGAGTGATAAAAACATCGTTCGGACCAAGGTACCTACTTTTGCCTGGCCTTACTCTTTGACAGAGCAGAAAGTTTGGCAGTAGGATAAACTTCAGCAATGCCTCCCTTTCCTTAAGTTTTTTTCCTTTGGGAGAAGTCAAATTTCCCAGAGGGCTAAGATAAAACCTAACAACAGACTAAAAGCAATACTCTGTTAATTAACACTTCTTTCCCAAGGATGAAAGTGAGAGTAATAAAGAGAGCAGGGCATTAAAACACTCTCCGGGTCTGAAGTGGCTGACTGTGGGCAATAAAGGGTGAAGGGATCCAACCAGATAGAAGAAAAGATTCACTGGAGGAGTGTACCTGGAAAGGCTTCCTGGTTCAGCACATATCATCCTTCAGTAATAAAGCTCATTTCTTTCTGGCATATACTTACTATATTGTATTGTATCCAGTAAAAGAAGGTGAATTACACACTTTCAACCGCTATATAATTCAAGAATCATACAGTGGGCAGCTCTGAAAGCTGGAAAATCATTTCTTGAGATATAAGAAGCACTCAATGCTCCCAGTAGGTTCCCCACATCATCCAACCCTTCCTATTCCAAAGAAAATACTAGAATTTTTATAAAGGGATTCTGGGAAAAGCAAAATTAAAAGAAAAGTCTAGTTGAATAACTTTAACCCCTAGTGAAGGATTAAATTGAAATGTGTAAAGACCTCCTTCGTATCTCATGCAAGAAAAGCCAAGTACAGTTTTGCATTCTCTTTCTGTTTGGCATCCCAGATGTTCCTTTACCTGTCAGATCTGTCCAGGAAGGACCGGAGAATTGTCAGCAAAAAATATAAGATTTATTTTTGGTAAGTAGATGACCCATAGGACCATAGTTCCTTTAAGTAAAATGAAAGTTTTCTTTGTAAAAACCACAGCCATTTATGTGGTGAAGTCTTAGTGTTTAATGAGACACAGGCATAGGTGATAATGCCACCAGCCAATGATAAGTAAACATGCATTGGTCATACACACAGAGGCAGCCTCCCACCAAGCCAAAAGGCTGAGCTGCCTAGTAAGGACCCCCTCTCTCTCAGAAATCCAGCGGCTGACTATTGTCCTCTGTGACAGGTCTTCCGATTCTTTCCCTTGAAGGATGCCCTTTTACTTGGATACAGATATCAGAGCAAAACAAAGGACATTGGGGCCACACAGAATTTCATAGCAGGATCATTATTTTGGAACTAAGAGGTATCTAAGAGAGCCACAACCCCTTCGCCCATTATTTGCACTCTGATTTCTTTTAATCTAGTGACATTCTAAAGAGATAAGGCCTCATTAGTAATTTGGTTAAACCAGAAGCAGATTTGATACTGTTTACAAATGGTTTTACAAAGAGGAAGGAAAAAAACTAATATTTGTTGGGTGCCAGTCATTAACCTTTAAATACATCATTTCAGTTAGTATTTTCAGTGTTCTCTGCAACCAACCTAATAGCAGCCAAGAAAAGTTTTTCTTCACTTCCTTAACCTCCCCTTTAGGTGAGGTATTGTGTGCCAAATACCCAAATGCAAGAGAAGGGAGAAGAAGACTGGAGAAACAGGAACAGATAATCAGCTTCCAATTACCTTTGCAAGTGAACTATGGAGTTACGAGGAGAAAGCATTCTTTTTTAAAAATTGAGCAATGATTCTACTATAAATTTGGAAACAACTATTTTTGGTTCTTTCTACCTGCATAGGAATATCATCACCATCGCTGTGTTTTATGCACTGCCTGTGATTCAACTGGTCATCACCTACCAGACAGTAAGTGCTGTCCCCAATCCCAGAACCCCAGCTTCCATCCTGTAGGGAAAGTCTTCACTCTGTCTTGCAGAGAAAGGTAAAACTTGGGATCAGTTCAAGAATTAATTTCCCATTTGGGTTCCAATTGGACTTCTCCATTGCTTCATCTTTAACTGACCTTTCAATCTAGTTCCCAACTGTTTTACCACAAAGGGACCTCATATTATTTTTTCTACCAATCTGAAATTACTACCTTGCACTCATTTCATCATGATATCGATCAGCTGCATCTGAGTTATTTACCAGTCTGAGCTTTTTGATCATCACAGGATAATGAGTAGAGTAAAGAAAGTTTCATATCAAAACAAAGAAACCTGATGTCTAATTTAGATGCCTTCTCATTGACGGTAAATAGTTTTTGTAACATTAAAAATGGCTTTATGAAACTAACAAAATATTAAAATAAAAATAAAATATAAAATAAAAATAAAAAATTTTTAAAACAAAATAAACTAACAAAAATATTATTAAAACAACCTGAGAATCCCAACTGCTCTTTCATAGAACCCTAGAGTCCGGGTCGCTTTGTGACCTTTTCTAGAATTTATTATACAGTACTTGAGAAAGCCCGTTTAGAATAGCACAAGGCTGAAGGAGTTTATAATGCTGTGGCTCTCAAACTTTTCTGTGTAGTAAAATCACCTGGGGAACTTTAAAAATCCCAGTGTCCAGACTGTACCCCACACCAATTAGATTGGAGTCACTGAGAATGGAACCAGGCATTGGTATTGTTTAGACCCCCAGTGATTCCAATGTACAACCAAGTTGGAGAGCTAATGGACTAATAATATTTTGTCAATTACATATTTATTATATAATGAGGACAAGGGCTTTATGAGGTTTGAGCACCACTGTTTATAATCTGAATATTCTCTGCATACTTTAAGGTCAGGTCAGAAGATACAGCTGTGCTGTGGTTTGGAAAGTTTCTTGATAGAGATGGTGATAAATATGAAAAACTGAACACACATCTCCTCATGTCTACCTGACCTGTGGTCATCATTTCCACCCAGAGGATGGGACACCTCCATATCCCCTAGCATTAATCTAGAAAATAGGGCATATCGTGTCAATGCTAAAAGGCAGGTCTCAATGTTAGCATCCTTTCATAGTCCTCTTATTATGATAACAAAGGAAACGCAATTAGTTTAATTGCACTTAGAGGCAGCATAATGGGGTACACAGCATATGTCCATTCAAAGCAAGATGGTAACACTGAAAGGAAACATGCCTGTGGAAAGGTGGCAGGTAAGGATCAGTCCCTGCTGAGAGAGAGCACTGGTCACATTGTAAATCACTGACGGCACATTGCTGTGAGGCCTGCCTGCCTGCTCTTTGTGATTTCAGGTGGGGCTCAGAGGACAGAGAAAAACTGCATTTCCTCCTCTGACTCTTGATTTTACAGGTGGTAAATGTCACTGGCAACCAAGACATCTGTTACTACAACTTCCTCTGTGCTCACCCCTTGGGCGTCCTAAGGTAAACCCCATCCTCTGGTTGCCCACAACGCATTTACAGATGCCTTTCTGTCTAATGTTGTGATTTCTGTTTTTAAAAAATACTAAAAACAACTGTGGAAAACTACCCCAATTAAGGGTAAAGAGGAATTAAACCAAGACATTGAGAACAGATATGCTTCTCTCGTTCCTGTATGAGGGCTTCAGGAAACACTCCTAAGAATAACCTGCTTAAAAGTGGGCAGTGATATTTTCAAAAGTCAGGTACCAGGGTCGGCCACTTAGCTCAACTGGTTAGAGCACAACTTTATAACACCAAGGTCACAGGTTCGGATGCCCATACTGGCCAGCCACCAAAAAGTCAGGTCCCTAGCTGTGATGGCATTTGTTCACATGCATGAGCTAACAGTCTATTGTCTCATCCAATCCCTCAACCTCATGAGATAGACATTATTATTAGACCCATTTTTAGCTGAAGACACTAAGGCTTGGACAGGTAAGGACTTGCTGAAGGTCTCTCAGCTGCTAGTGAAGTCAGGACTCAACCCCAGGCCTGCTGCCTCCAAGGCCATGGTCCAGCCACCAGAACTTGGTGAAGTTGAAAGAGCATTTGCCTGGGAGTTGACAGCCTGGCTTGCTCCAGAGCTGAACCAGCCTCCCTTACCTAAAATAAGGCTGCTGGCTGTGATTGGCTGACAATTAACCCTGAAATTCACAATTAGAGAGCTGAATATTGACACATAACATGGATCAGTCTATGAGAATTCACTCTCACAGCGTTGCTTGCCCATCTTTGCAGCAGCTCTCTTTCCCAGGATTTATACATTGCCAGTGCCATTGGGACAATAGAGGGTTGGGCAGGTGTTAGGGATGCTGAGCTGGCATCCCTGAGAGGAAACAGACACGTCATCACAAGCTGAGTAAGCTCCTAAAATGAAGGAGTTAGGTTAAAGATGATTTCTGATGATTATCCTATCCTGGAATTGTATGGAAATGTTAGTGGTGGAAAACACTGAACGCTGAGTTCACTCACTCATTTGTGCATTCATTCATCCTCTGAGTCCCTTTGATTGCCTTGACTCTCTCATGATTTCTAACTCATCCCTGTAGTGCCTTCAACAACATTCTCAGCAACCTGGGCCACGTGCTTCTGGGCTTCCTCTTCCTGCTGATAGTCTGGCACCGGGACCTTCTCCATCGAAGAGCACTGGAAGCCAAAGACATCTTTGCTATGGTGAGGAGAGGTGGATAGTAGGAAGGGTTATGGTTCCAAACAAGATCTGCAAAGGGGAGGGACACCTGGCTGGATAGTGTGATGATATATTATGTGTAATGAACCACATAAGGCCAGAAGCATGGGCTTCCAGATTCTGTGGATATGTCACTAATTGGTACCTTTCTATTGACCACCCTTTCTCCTTTTTCAGGAGTACGGGATTCCCAAACACTTTGGTCTCTTCTATGCCATGGGCATCGCATTGATAATGGAAGGGGTGCTCAGTGCTTGTTACCATGTCTGCCCTAATTACTCCAACTTCCAATTCGGTAATCAGAATTTATATCTATTGCACAGATTTCAGTTATAAGAGTCTTATCCTGGGACCCTCCCAAAAATGCCAACGTCATATTTGCAAGAATTAAATGGCACTTTCTGTCAGCTGAAGTAATCTGAGAGCACCTGGCCACACAGCATGGTTTCCATGTGTTGAACCAGTTTTTCTCTCTGGTCACCGCTTAGACTAGAAAACATTCAATACTGAATGATGATCCCATGGCTAGATCTGAAGGTAACCAACAGACTAAGAGTTAGGCAGCAAGTCAGATAGAACTCACCAACAGACTTCTAGAAAGGTCCATCAGTGTAACTTAGCCTAATTGAGCAGTTAGACTGCTTTGTGATGAAAGTAATAGAATACCCAATTCAGATTGGATTGAATAATAACATTTATCAGATCACTATCTGAAAGTCCAGAGGTAGAAAGGGCTTGTGACTGGCTTATCCCATGGCTCTGGCTCCATTTCTCTGTGAGCCCCTTGGTTGTGCCCAGCCTGTATGTTGGTTTTATCCTCAGGCTATCTCCCCTCATAGTGGCTAAAGTACCTATAGAAGGACTTGGCTTCCTATATCCACTCCACAACTCCAGAGAAGGCAGCAAGATGGTTTCCGGGAGCCATCACTCAAGAGCAAGGAACTTCTTTTCAAGAAACCCTCAGAATATGTTCCTCACACTTCAATAGCTTATACAGTCATGAGCCCATTCTCCAATCATTCCCTAAGTGCCGGTTAGCTCAGGCCTGGGTTGCTGCAGCAATCAGCAAAGGGGGTGGGATTACCTATAAACCTATCAGACCCACCCCTGGAGCAAAGGGTAGGGTTAGCTTTCCTGAAGGAGGTGTGCATTTCTAAATTGAAAAGGGCTAGACTTTGAGTTAGTACTGAGATGCTGTTAAGAAGGGAGAAGGGAGGGGCTAATGCTGGTAAGCAATTAACAATGTCCTTCACACTCAAGGATAAGGATTTTTAAAACAGTCATTTTTGTGTTTGTGTTCAGGTCTCTGGCTGTTAACTTAGAACAAGACAGAAATTCTATGGCACATTTAATATTTTTTAGTTAGGAAACATTTTTAACAGAGAAAACTACAAAGAACAAAATCATTCACCACTCACAATGAATGAATGTCAACATTTAAAAAATATTTGCCTGGGCCGGCCGGTGGCGCACTGGAGAGTGTGCCGGTTGGGAGTGCGACGGGGTTTGGATCCCATGTGGAGACCAGTTCCCACTCACTGGCTGAGCGCGGTGTGGGCGCGACACCGAGGGTTGCGATCCCGTTGCCGGTCAGTAAAAAAGACAAAAAGGAAAATAAATAAATAAATAAATAATATTTGCCTTAGATCTACTTTTTAAGAAATGAAACATTAAGATGAAGTTGAGATCCTATTTTGAACCACTTCCCAAACTGAATCCCCTCCCTTCTTCCCCAGAGGCAACAACTATGGTTAGTTAATTTGATATTTATCCTGGTTTGTTTTTATAGTTTTACTTCATTTGTAGTAAATTAATATTAATTTATCACACTGTGTTCTGCAACTTTCTTCTTTCATTCAACAATATGTTTTCAGGATTTATCAATATTGAATCAAGGACATGTCATTCATTTTTAAGAATTGTCACATTCTTTAATAAAAATGTCACATTTATCAATTCCTCCATTGAACAACATTTAGATGTGCCAATATTTTGCTATCAAACATCCTTATATATATTTATTTGTGCACATGTGAGAGATGCTTCCTGGAATACCTGAAAGAAAAATTTTTGAGTCACCTGGTTTGAGCATCTTTCATTTTACCAAAAACTGCCACATTTCTCTCCAGTGTATTAATTCCCACTCCCACTAGCTGTGTGAGAGTTTCCATTTCCCCACATCATCACGAACACTTGTAATTGTTAGACATTTAACTATTTTGCTATTTTTCCCCCCCCCGATGGCCAGTAAGGACATTGGAATCCTTGACCTTGATGTTATAACACCACACTCTAACCAACTGAGCTAACTGGCCAGCCTGAATTTTTTCCTAAATTTTTGAGTAATATGAGGCATTACACTGTTGTTTTAATTTGCATTTCCATAATTCTAATGCATCTAAGCTACTTTAAATTTCTAGCTAGTTTTCATCTCTAGGCTATAAAGCTATATATGTGAAACAATCAATATGGTTATATTTCAGAGTGCTGAGAACAATCTTCTGCACCCACCTGGGACACATTTCATTGTTTCACTGCCTAAACAATCACTATTGGGGATTCTTTTTCTATTGTTGAACACCAGCATTTAAAATGCAAATACCCCTGCAAATGGGGATAGTCGATTACTTACCCTATCAGATGCTTTTCTCCTGTGAACTTAGAACAGCCTTGGGGGGCGGGGGTGTAGAAGTGGAGCAGGCGGGGTCTGCCTATGGAATGTACCTACGGAGGCTGACGTGTAGGAGGTCTCCGCACAGTCTGAGGGCAGCAAACGCTCCATGCACTGAAGGGGCGGGGGTGCTCAGAGGCTAAAGAAAAATCTAGAAAGTGTCCTCTGTCTGTCACCTACTGAATCCTGGTTGTCTCGGCTCGTCCTCTGGGTCCTCAGACACCTCCTTCATGTACATGATCGCGGGCCTCTGCATGCTGAAGCTCTATCAGACCCGCCACCCGGACATCAACGCCAGCGCCTACTCCGCCTACGCCTCCTTCGCGCTGGTCATCACGCTCACGGTCCTCGGAGTGGTGCGTCTCCTCCACCTGCCTTCAGTCCGGCTCTCTCGGGAGGCTTTGTTTGTTTGTCTGTTTGGCCTCAGGTGAACGGGTTTGGATTAACCGTAATTCTCTGTTCATGACATTCTCATCACTGGTCCATTCGTGGCACACTTTTATTTTGTTAGCTGGTTATTTTTAATAATATAATAGGCACCCGAAAAACTGGATAGTTTTACTATAAATCTGGGGGCTGACTCATGTGAGATCTGATAGAGATGTGCAAGCCAATTGGGGAGACTGACTTCAATAACAGAAACTGCTTTGCAAACGTGCGTGGGCAAGTGTTGGTTGTTCGGTTACTTGAAGAGCATTAGCTCCAACTTTAGAACCATTGCCCTTTGTCCGTTGTCCTTCACTGCTGCTCCTATTTCTGCCCTTTTCCGGTTTTTTTGTTTGTTTGTTTGTTTTTTTATTGTCCAGGTGGGCATTCTTTTCCCTGCCCGCTGTGCAGTATGATCCCTGTGAGTTCTGAGAAGGGGGAGAAAACAAAATGCACACACAGCTCAGTTTCTGACTCCTCACACATGAGAGACAGACAAATTTAGTCGGTTCTCTGGGAAACAAACAAACAAACAAAAAAAAAAACAATGAAGGTAACTTCCATCTTTACTCCCAGGTGTTTGGAAAAAATGATGTGTGGTTCTGGGTCATCTTCTCTGCAATCCATATTCTGTCCTCTCTGGCCCTCAGCACCCAGATCTACTACATGGGTCGTTTCAAGATAGGTAAGTCACCTGTTATTCTATACTAAACACGTGGACTAACTTGCCCTGAGAAAGCAGATATTGTCTTCACTCATCCTGAGTGAAAGTGTGACTGGTCACCACGAACATGTGCTCTGCATTCTGTGCTATATTTAATAGCATATATTCTCTCCAAGAGCTCCTTATAGGTAGGACTGCAATGAACTGTTATCACTAAGTCTATTTTCAGCTGAGCAACTAAGCTTGTCATACCTCAGAGCTGAAGCATATTTCCAGCTCCTAGCCACAAACATTTTATAATCCACCAAACTTTGGAAGTGCATTTGGAGAGTGGTATGATCATCATACCATTAATTCCACCTAGAGGAACATTTTTCATTTTGCAGCATTCAAAAGGAGCATTTCTCTAACCATGTGTAAATAGCCATCAAGCATGAACTATGCATTATTTCCAAATCCCAGAGCTGGAATCTTTTGAGACCAAATTGCCAATCTTAGAGACAGGCCACCTGCTGTGCTCCTTCGGACAATGTGAACTTATCGGGGAGCACTGAGTGTTCTACAGAAATCAGCTTTCGATCTGCTGTCGGTCAGTTGTCATACATGAGAGCAGGTTCAAGGTGTTTTAGAGCATTTCAATTTCACAAATAATTTTAAGGTCCAAGAAGTCAGGCTTAAATATTCTTTTGTATATTTCAAAACAAATCATTATATATAAAATTAGGCTCACCTCTAATATTTGCAGAGCCCAGGGCAGGAGTGCAAATAAACGCCACATATCATGTATGTTAAAATTTTAAAGTTATGAAGCAGACTAAGTAAGGAAAGAAGGAAGTAAGGTGGGAAGGAGGGAGGAAGAGAGATGAAAGACCAACAAACTAGTAAATATAATGTACTTTCATCTCTACCTAGAAGGTCCAGTTTCAAATTTAGAATTCTCAGTTCCTCAAAAGAACCCTGCAGAACATAGCTATGCAGGAGATCTGGTCCCTAGTCCCTGCCACTCTTTTCTTTCCACCTCTGGCTCTGTCCTATATCTTAAGGGTTCTCACAGGTGTACACATGGACACCTTTGCCCAACATCCAGTGTCCATCCACATCCCCCACAAATACCCACCATTGGCCATTCCTTGCTTCTACAAGTACACACACTGACGCCATCTGCCCTCAGGAAGATAGTCCAGGGAAGGGGTAATTCAGGCTCCGAGAGCAGGCTTAAGGCCATCTGGGAAATTAATTTGGGGTCCAGGAATTCAGAATGTGCTCTAGAAGAGGAAAGATTAGTCTCCTTGCCTTGCAGACTCCTCTCTCATGGGGGAATGAGGGCCCTCTAAAATATGGGACCCCTCCTGCCCAAGTCTGAGAGCAGTTCTACGTAAACAAATGGCCTTTAAGACTAGAAGACCTAATAAAACAACTCATTTTCACAGTTTGGTTTTCCCTTTGGGCATGGCCAGTAGATCTCCTCTTGGCCTTAACACAGCCAGTGTACCCCCAAGTCCCCCAGTTATCAGAGCCAGTTGTGTAGAACATTTGGTGTGGCACTCTGGTCATGCTCCATCCTCCAGACTAAAGGTGAGCAAAGTCACACAAACTAAACTTTCCAAAGGAAAATAATTTGGAGCATTGTTGTTCTGGTTTCTCTCAGAGTTGGAAAAACAAACTTGACTACAGATATAGGTAATGGTAATGACCACTAACACATAGAGGGCTAGTAGCAGTGAAGCATTTACCACCCATAAGCCCAAAAGGACAGAGAGGAAGTGGTTACCAAAATGTGGAAGGAGAGAGCCATGGAGGGGAGGCCACTCTGAAAGGAGCAGTGACCTCTGGTTGACAGACACACTGGCCTGAGACAACCTCACAGGGAGGTCATCAGGGAAATAAACCCTCTGCACTCACACGCCTTCCTCTGTCCCTGCAGTCTCCTGCAGGGACTCCCCATTGTCCAAATCCATGGAGCATAAGGGATGTGCTCCGTACAGGTCAGCCCCCAGCAAGGTGCAAGAGAGACAGTGGCAGTGGGTCTGGAAGGGCAAATAGGAAGAGAGCCAGCATACAGTCCAACAGAGCAGTTTTCACGTCTGTACACAAGGAGTCTTCCCCCAGTGGGTACAGACTTAGAGAGCTAATCAGAAATCTTGCTATTTCATTGTGACAATGAAATAAACTTAGTCCAAAAGCAGGAAGTTGGATTAGTGGACAGTGGTTCAGCCAACTCCTGTCTCTCTACCCACTTCATGAGCTGCCTTTGCTTTCTCATCACATGCCCCTTCTCTGTGGTCCTCAGGCTGCACAAGAAAATAAATGTGGACACCAGAAAGGCAGCAGTAATGAGACAGAACATTTCATAAGTAGGACAGAAAACCATAGAGCTACTTGTCCAGATCACTACTACGTCCCTTGCTCCCAGAGCCTGGTAAAGGACCCCAGGAATTGTTCACAAGAGAGGACGGATTATAAATTGCAAGTGGTGCACAAAAGTTGACAGGGAAAGAGAAAAGTCTTAATTCACTAGAGGAATAGTAAATTTCTGAATGTTTTAGACAAGCAGAAAGATTTTGTGTTCTTTGTAATGAGCAAAAATTACTTTTATAATCAGAAAACAAAATTAAAGTCACCCATTTTGAGAAAAAATAAAATGACCAGTTGTTTACCTGTTTGGCCACCTTCTTACAAATCTTTTTTTTTTTTCTCATTTCTTCTCTGCTTCCCACTGACTCAGATGTGTCTGACACAGGTAATGTTCAGCCACCCTTCCCAAGTGTCTAGATTCTTTCCTTATCAAAGTGACCCACCTGGCAGCTGTGCAGCTCTGCTCCCTGAACACCCCCTCCCAGGGGGGGCAGGCTCTGTGGGAGGGGAGAGCCAGAGGGAGGCTGCTCCCATGCAGCCTGCTGGGGGCTTCCTCAGGGCTGTCACATGGACCAGCCCCTCCCTCCTGGTCAAACTGACTACAGGGGCAGCCTTGAAGAGAAGCAGCATTCACAGCAGAGCTGAGACCCACACTTTCTGAAATGCTTGTTTTGGGAAGACCCAAACTTGCATTTGATGTCTGTGGTATGGACTACTCACAGAAAGACAGCCCCACCTTTGACCCTGACTCTGTTCATGTGACATTTACAACATGTACACTCACTGTATTTCATACCATCCTTTTGAAGGATTGTATTTTTAAAAGCTTTCCTGTCTTTTTCTCCCCATCTTAACTTACATTCCTCTGATTATCATCTATAGATAGACTTTCTGAACATGCTTAGTAGAGTCCAATCTCTTGGCTCAATTATTACTAACTTATAACATGGTTGAGGAGTATAGATTATAACCTTTACAAGCTAAGATTTACCATCCACTAGGGAAAACAGATGTTTTAAGGTGGATTTGAGGGGTCCCATAACATTTGTGTTCAAGGAAACACCACCAGAATAATCTGTAAGCAAATGAAGCTTAGCTGAAGGAGACAGAGTAAGGGTCGGCCAGCCACCCACGTTCCTTGCGAATGCCTGTTACTAGCGTGTGTCTTGCTTGCTTTTCTGCTGCGTGATGCGTGGATATGGCATCCCCTCCGTGACAACACGGTTTTTTAAAGCAAACATTTTTTGCTCACCTATTAGGTGCAAAGCACCATTTCGATGAAGTAAAGATGACGTTATCCTCACCCCAAAAGTTTGGGCCATTTCAGGGTATTTGTATTTTCTCTGACTAAGCCTTCTTACCATGCGATTGTGTCATCAGCAGATTTGGGGATTTTCCGGCGAGCCGCTATGGTGTTCTACACGGACTGTGTCCAGCAGTGTAGCCGGCCTCTGTATATGGTACGTGGGTGCTCCTGTGTTCCTTGGCCTTCTCCCAGAAAGTAGGGGAACAGCAGGAGGGGCAGGCTCCTAAAATCAAGAGGGCCAGATGGCCCAGGCTGGCTGAGATCCAGTTAGCGGGGGAAGAGGCATGTTGCTTAGTCTTTTTCATAAAAGACAAGCTAGGATGCTCCCATTTTGCAAATGAAATATTTGGTAGTTCATTTATAAAGAAGAGGAAAATATATATTACCAAACTGTTAAACAGTGATACCTGCTGTAGAGGAAAATCAAGACAGTGTCTCTATAAATAACAGTCCAAGGGGCACCCTTTCGAAATTGAAAGGGCACACTATTAATAGTTACACTGGGACAGCAGGCATAAACCAGGACTGTCCCAAGCAAACTGAGTCATGTGGTCACTCTAATTACTTTCATTAGGAACATATACTTTCCACATTATGCATTTCTGTATTGTTTCATTTTTACAATGAGCAAGAATATCTTTTTTAAACTGTGGTTATTGCTTGGTGTTTGGAAAATACCTTTAAAAGTTCTCCCTTATATTTTATAATATAGGTTTCAGTACATTGTACATTTCTATCCTGAGCCCAGAGATCAGGGCCCTGGTCCCAGCTCTGTCATGGGTTTCTGGCCAGTGACCTTGGGAAGGCTACTCCCTCCTCTGAGCCCACCGCCCCAGCCATGACACAGTGCTGTTGTCAGAACTAGTGATACTTGGGCCTGGCACACAGGAATTCAATAAGTACCTAATAATCGTTTATAATCCGAAGGATTTTTACATAAAGGAATGTGGGGATCTTTTAGCCCTCTGGAACTTGGACAGGAGCAATAGGCACTAAAAATTTGAGGGAATTGAGACTGGAGAGTTTTATTCAATTGAGAATTGAAAAGCCCATTAGGACCTCTGAGTATTTTGATAATTAAGCATGCTTTAGCTGTGAAGCAGGAGGAGAGATTGATGTTTTGGGTGTTTTTATTACATTAATTGGTGCAGATTTTCTTTCTTTTTTAAAATTAGACTTTGTTTTTTAGAGCAGTTTTAGGTTCACAGGGAAATTGAACAGGAAGCACACAGATTTTCTCGGCAGCCCCTGCCCCCCCACAAGCACAGCCTCCCCTACGATCGACATCCCCCACCAGAGTGGCACATTTGTTACAAGTGACGAACCTACACTGGCACATCATTGTTACCCAATCCATGGTTTTACATTAGGGCTCACTCTTGGTGTTGTATATTCTATGAGTTTTGTCAAAGGTGTGATGATGTATATCCACCATTGTAGCATCATACAGAATAACTTCACAGCCCTAAAATTCTTCTGTGCTCTGCCTGCTCATCTGTTCCTCCCCTAACCCCTGGCAACCACTCATCTTTCTACTGTCTCCATAGTTTTGCCTTTTCCAAAATGTCTTGTCATCGGAATCGTACAGTACGTAACCTCTTCAGATTGGCTTCTTTCACTTAGTAATATGCATTTAAGATTCCTCCATGTCTTTTCATGTCTTGATAGCTCATTCTTTTTAGTGCTTTATCTGGGTGTATCAGAGTTTATTTTTCCATTCACCTGCTGAAGGATATCTTGGTTGCTTCCAAGTCTTGGTAATTATGAATAAAGCTAGTATAACATTCGTGTGCAGGTTTTTAGGACATAAGTTTTCAACGCATTTGGGTAAATACCAAGGAGAGTTATTGCTGGATCATATGGTAAGCATATGTTTAGTTTTGTAAGAATCTGCCAAACTGTCTTCCAAAGTGTATGTACCATTTCGCCTTCCCTCGGCAGTGAATGGAAGTTCCTGTTGTTCCATATCCTCATCAGCATTCAGTGTTGTTGGTGTTTTGAATTTTCGCCATTCTAATAGGTGAATTAATGTTTTTTTAAACAAAAGTATTTCCTACACATTGGATGGATCACCCACAAAGACAGAGAATCCCTACTTTTAAATAGCAAATGAGTGGCCATGAAAATTGAAGTATAATCAAATCTCACCTAGAAGTTTAAGTAGTAGGCAGAGGAACAGGGACCGATTGTGAATAAATCCCTATCAGAGTAATTGTCCTTTAAGATGGTACCTTTCCTCTCTGTCTTCTCCTCTACCCAGTAACTTTAGTGTTAAGACCATGTAGCAGGAGCCAAAGTAATGGGTACAAAACTAACTCCCTACAGTTGGGTCCTGAGAGTTGCAATAGAAGCCACCAAATAACACAACCCAGAGAAACAGTCCTTGATTACATAGCACCAGCAGCAGAATTCTTTTAACTACTAAGTAATCAGCACATTCCACCAGCCTCCCCACTGAGAAGTGGGGCCAGATCCACTTAAACATTGGGGAGAAACAGCCAGAGTTCTGCTTTCCTACCACATTTTCTTCTACAGGAATGAGATGTCTGTTCGCAGTTAGAGGCCTTGCCATTTAGTCCTTGCAGAGAATCGGTGTCAGACCATAGACAAAGCTCTCTCAGAGCCACAGAAAATTTGTTTACACCGAGGCAGTTGTTTTTCTATAGTTGATGCTTCTGCTACATTAAGTTACAAGTACTGTGTGCAGCCTCTTCGTTTGATGTTTGCTTTCCTCTTTTCCAGGATAGAATGGTGCTGCTTATCGTGGGGAATCTGGTTAACTGGTCCTTGTAAGTAGCTTAGGAAAACATGTTGTCGTTTTTATTAATGTCTGTAACACTGTGGTTTCGCTTGCCTCGACTGTCATTTTTACAAAGAAATCCGAAATTAAGGCAAGGGTAGGGCTGTGATTGTCTAGAAATTTGAGAAAAATAGCCCTAAAATTGTAGAGATTTGAGAAAAATAGCCCTAATATTTTTCCTCCTGCACAGAAAGCATGTGGAAGCTCTTGTGCACCAGTAGCAGCCTGTTTTGAAGCACTGATGCATTGAGTTCATTTGCTCCACAACACAAACATCAAAACTCATTAAATCTGTGTGGCTAGATTAGATGACAGACAGGTAGATGATAGATAGATAGAAAGACAGAGTTTATGCCAATAGTTGCAAAAGTGCAGCACAGTTTTAAACTATTGTAGAACTTTCCACGATGGCTATACAGTAGGAATTCTTTGCTGTAGAAATTTCTTTTTCTTAGCAAGTGCATGTGCGTGAGCAAGTCTCTTTCCTGTTTGTTTCTTTTCTTCCAGGTCTCTTTCTTCCTATTTCACCTATATTATCCTTCTACCTCTTTTGTCCTTCATTATCCCCTTGGGCATTTTTCCTCAAATGGCCTCAAAATAAAACAGTACAATAAATGTAAATTTTTGCTAGCTGAAATTATTTCATGCAGCCTATTCTCAATTAAAAATTTTGAGTGAGTGGGATATTTTGTTGATCATTCAAAAAATAAGTAAGTTTAGCTGCTTTTATTTGTGGCTGTGAGCTGATTTGCCCTTCTGGGTCAGTAACCTTTGACAGCAGAAATGACTCCCCACGCCTGGTGCACATTAAGACATATGAAGGAATGAAGACAGAGACACTCTTTCAGGGGAAGCCAGAATCGAGCCATGAGAATTTGAATCCTATTTGAGGGCCATTATGCTTTTGGAGCAAACTTCCCATAATATTGTCACCACAGGGATTATCTCGGGGTAAAGTCCTTACCTTTTAAGGATTCCCTCCTTTACCTGGGGGCAATTCAAGATGAGGTAATTCTCAGTAGTGGCCCCTGCAGTACTCTTCTTGAGCACCATTTTAGGAGCAGGCTCCACAGTCCCGGTGACTGTAGGGCACTGCTGGGCGAAAAGGAACCAACCTCTTGATAACGAACAACCAACGACTATGGCCCCAGGAGCTCAGAATCACCTGGCTTGTCTCTGCCTCTCACATAAAAACAAAACACACAATCTGCTCACAAGACGGGGTGAATGGGCTCTCTCTTCTTAGACAGCTCCGTGAGACACCAGGGACCACAGGGAGGAATGAGGCACATGGAACACTAATACCATGATCACCCCACGGAGGGCCACCTCCCTCCCTGTTACACCATAAAAACATGGAGTGATTTAATATGAATGTTATTTCAAAAAGATTCACTCTCTAGACACCAGGGACCACAGGGAGGAATGAGGCACATGGAACACTAATACCATGATCACCCCACAGAGGGCCACCTCCCTCCCTGTTACACCATAAAAACATGGAGTGATTTAATATGAATGTTATTTCAAAAAGATTCACTCTCCTGTGGTCATAAAGAAGAAAAATGGTGTGTGTATGTGCATGTATATAAATATACACACACACTATATATATGTACACACATGAGAGTGAGATGTGGACGTGGATATATATGTATACATGTACGCATGGAGAGAGAGAGAGAGTGATGAGGCAGATGTGACAAAATGCTAATTGATGAGTCTGAGTGAAGGGTATTTAAGAGTTTTTTGGTATACTGAAGATTTCAAAATCTGAAAGGAGGAAGCTTCTTACATTATGTAGAATAAATCCAGTTATATTATAAAATGAACAAAAAAAGAGTCTATTAATAGTCGTTTTATACTTGAAATACTTAGGAATAAATTTTGAGAGAAGTTCAGAATCTTTCTGCAGAAAATTTAATTACCTTATTAGTAGATATAAAGGAAAACTTAACTAAATGAAGAGAGATGCTATGCCTTAGGTGGGAAGATTAACTGTTGTAAAGATAATTATTCCCAAATTAATGAATAAATTTAGAATTAGAATTGGAAGTAAGTTAATAGAATTTTATTCTAAAATTTATTTGCCTGGTTAGGCAAAACTTTCAAAGATCTCTGAAAAAGATGATGAACAGAAGGAAGAAGGGGCAGAGGGGTATAGTGAGTAACTAGCCCAGCATTGTCCCATAGAGCTTTCTGGAATGAAGTAAGCGTTCTACACGGCACTGTTCAGTACAGTAACTGTTAGCCACATGTGGTTATTGGCCACTTAAAACATGGTTAGTGTGACTGAGAAACCGGATTTTTTATTTTATTTAATTTTAATAAATTTTAATTTAAATAGCTATCTGTGGCTACTATATTGATTAGTGCAGGCCAGGTTAGTCATATAATCTAACATACTATAAAATAATAATAAAATAGTGAGGCACTGATCCGAAGTTAGAAATTAGAAACATAAATCAGTATATCAGAATGCAGAAAACAGAAATCCAACTAGCTATAGACAGAGACAGAGATTTTTAAAATATGTATGTGAGGTTTAGTTCAGTTGGTTCCAGCGTAGTGATACACCACCAAAGTCAAGGGTTCGGATTCCCTTACCAGCCAGCTGCCAAAAATAAAATATGTGTGTGGATGTGTGTTAATTATAAACAAGCTTTTAAGAACAAGGAAATAAGGAAGTGTTATATAATTAAGAGTTTTGTTGACACTGAACAGAAATTTGAGACAAAATTAAGGCTAAACACCAACCAAAATAAATTACAGTATTAATTTAAAAGCCAGGGACAGCTAGCAAAAATTTGGTAATGTGTGTCAAGCCAGTTACTGACATAATTCTACTTCTAGTAACTATTCTAAGGAACTAATCTTAAATGCAAAAAAAAAAAAAAGAAGTGCACAATATGTCTGAAAGTATTCACTTATTCATTGCCGTGTTCTTTGTAATAGTGAGCAGCTGAAGGACAAGGGAACCCTTTATTTCAACCAGAAAGGAAGGATGATTATTTACTGTACATTCACTTATGGGAACCTTACATAGTCAGTAGAAATGAATGTTATATAGAAGATGTAATAAATTAAAAGTTACTTATATGTCAAAGTGAGTTTTTTTAAATGACTGCCCCCCAAAAAACAAAATGGGGATGGGGAGTGAAAAGTCAATAATGTTCCAAATCCACCTTCACAGCTGCCAACATTTCCTCCCCATGTCCTCAGCGCCCTCTTCGGGTTGATATACCGCCCCAGGGACTTCGCTTCCTACATGCTGGGGATCTTCATCTGCAACCTGCTGCTGTACCTGGCCTTCTACATCATCATGAAGGTAAGAGTGGGCGCTGGCAGCGGGGCCCACAGGCAGTGGGTCCAGCTTTGCCGCATCTGCTTCTCACCCCACAGCTCCGCAGCTCCGAGAAGGTCCTTCCAGTGCCACTTTTCTGCATCGTGGCCACCGCTGTGGTGTGGGCTGCCGCCCTATATTTTTTCTTCCAGAATCTCAGCAGCTGGGAGGTAAGAGGACAGTTTTTCTTTCCAAGAAGTTCTTTCTCTATCTTGCCTTTTTGACCTTTCTTTTTGATCTCCCAAGATGTGTTTGTTGCTTTTTATCTTTTTTGCATTTTCTAAGATGAAAGCTTTCTCTAAAAAGGGATGGTTTTTAAATACCCACACGTAAATGCTCAACCCCTGGCATGTGATCATCATGGTCAGCGTAGCACTTCATAAGCCTGTAAGCCCTACGGACACTACAAATCTGATCTTCCTCATATGTTGTACATATTATGATCCTGTTCCCAAAGGATGTTCAACTGTGCAAAAACCTTGGTTAGTGTATCTTCTCTACCTTTCTCATCATAATCACCATCCACCAACAAATACCCAGATGCAAGTGTTATTTCATCCTTTTCACAGATACCAAAGCTGAGGCCCAGGAAATTAGTGATGTATCTGAGGCACAGAAGAGATGGTTAGTGTATCTTCTCTACCTTTCTCATCATAATCACCATCCACCAACAAATACCCAGATTCAAGTGTTATTTCATCCTTTTCACAGATACCAAAGCTGAGGCCCAGGAAATTAGTGATGTATCTGAGGCACAGAAGAGAGGAAAAGTCTCAGCCCACCATCATCATCACAATCAATTTTAGAACATTTTTATCACCCCAGAAAGAAACCTTATACACATTAGCAGTCCTCCCCATTTCTCCTTAACCCTTTAGCCCTAGGCAACAGTAATCTACATTTTGTCTCTATGGATTTGCCTATTCTGGACATTTCATATAAATGGGGTCACACAATATGTGATCTTTGAGTCTAGCTTTTTTCTCTTAGCATACTGTTTCCTAGGTTCATACACATTGTGGCATGTATCAGTATTTCATATCTTTTTATTGCTGAATAATATTCCGTCATATGGATATACCACATTTTATCTATCCATTCATCAGTCCATTCATTAGTTGATGGCTGTTTGGGCTGTTTCTACTTTTGAGCCATTATGAATGATGCTGCTGTGAACATTTGTGCACAAAGTTTTGTGTGGACATAGGTTTTCTTGGAACTTTTTTAGTCAAACATCTAGTAGCATTTCTATAGTTTTCTGGATGCTCAGCCCTCTAAACGGTTGAATTGTGGAGGTCTTGCCCACATCCTGCCTCATCTTCCTCCAGGGAACCCCAGCTGAATCCCGGGAGAAGAACCGCGAGTGCATCCTGCTGGATTTCTTTGATGACCATGACGTCTGGCACTTCCTCTCTGCTACTGCGCTGTTTTTCTCATTCTTGGTGAGTTTATCATATCTTTCTGTTACTTTCTTCTCTCTTTACACCCTGTACTCTTGTTTTTTCTCTTCCACTCTTCCTTACACCCTCTTTTATATTCCTCTCTATTTCCTTTTCCAATTTCTCATTGCAATTCAGTGTATACCATCTTATTTCTTTTTTGTATTGTATCCTTCAGTTAGATCTTTATTTTCATTTTCCCTTTATTCTTCAAAATTTTAAAACACAGAGTGACAAAATTATTTTCCCTAAGTTGCACAGCACATTTGGACTGAAATCACTATTAGATCACATGCCCCAAATTCCCCCTAGGAAGCACTTTGGCATTCACTAAAATTTTGATAACACTGGGTGATTCCTTCTCGTGCTATATTCCCATTCTTCCACTCCTCCAGCCTCACTGAACATTTCACAAATATTTTACAGATTCCTGGAGTGGCTCAGGATAGCAGCCAGGTCAGACTTCTAACCAGTCTGTTCCAAATCTCTCCTGTAGTTCCTCTATTTTTTGCCAAACCCTTTCCCAGAAGCCATGAGCATTTATGTCAACCCTTCATGATAGCTCCTGCAACCTTTTATCTTATTTTACTTTTCCAAATGAAAAGTCTGTGGTGCCTGTACATAGGTTCAATTGGCAATTATGTTCCTGGGGTCTCAACACTGTCCGATTTAAAGTCTGGGTCCTGCCACATATTCTCAAGAGTAGAGCAGGGCTACCCTCTAGTGGCCAGTTTGTGACATTTACTCAATCTGTGTACGTCATTCCTTATGGCTTTTATTGTTGACAGTCACCTTCATTAGAGAGACAGAGACAACCAAAGTGGAGCTAAGGGTTTCGTGTAGGGAGAGTGGTGGTCGAGGGAACTAGAAATGAGGAGGAGGGTACATTTCTTACATAGCACTGCTCTCTATGCAGTAAGACTTCTTTTCCTTTAGGTCTTGACCCAGATGGAAGTAATGACTTCCCACCCTATCAAAACTTTTTACTGCCCCTCCACTTCATACTTTCTATAATCCCTCCCTAGTTTAATCGTTATCCTTAGCACATATTGCTCTTTAACATACTACCTTTTATTCATGTATTTGTTTTTTGTCCGAAGTCCCCTTTTGAACATAGCTCCATCAGAGTAGGGATTTTTTTTTCTTTTGTTCGAAACTACATCTTCAGCATCTAGAATAGCACATAATAAACCCTCATAAATATTTGAATTAATTGATGAATGAACTATATAATTATAATAAGTACCTGTTAAGAGCAAGGCATTGCAGAGAGCTGCAAAAGACATGAAAATGAGTTAGGGAAGCTAGTTTTCAGCCCGTGGGAGTCTTAGAAAGAAAGTGGGACTTAGTGTGACCATACATTCCTTTCATTTCTCTGTCCCTCTCATTTCAGGTTTTGTTAACTCTGGATGACGACCTGGATGTGGTTCGGAGAGACCAGATCCCTGTTTTCTGAGCCTCCAGCATGAAGAGGGGGACAGGAAGCAATCAGTCTTGGTGCTGTTTCTTGAAAAATACAGTGACTGCAGCAAACTAACCACTGCCAAATGCTCCAGTCGCCCTCTGCAGGATCAGCTGTGTTTTCACACAGGAAGAGGAGGAGCTGGGGGAGATCTAAACCGACAAGAAGGGAGGTAGAAGGGAAGCCATGCTGAGGAGCCAAGAAACAGCCATCCCCTTCCATTTACAGCTCTTTGGGTTAGATGTGGACCAAAGCTGCATTCAAGTGAACTCACTATCTTGCAGCCCCTCCACTCTCACCTGAGAACTGCCAGCAATGGAGATGCTGCTGCGCTTAGCTGCCGCCATTCCCAGAAAGGCCAGCAGCTTGGGTTTCCCAGCCAGAAACTTCGGCTTGGCCCCCTTGGCACCTCTGTGACACCCACTGATCTAGATGTCCCAAAGCATCAGCTCATGTGTCCAAGGTCCTGGGAGGACGTGATTCCCCAGAGTATGGGGGAGAGGTGACACAAGGCCCTGCCCAACTGGGATAGACGTTCTAGTAGCACCAGCTGGTCACCTCCTTGGAAGGAATGCTGGATGCCATTAGAAAGACTCAGGACTAGGCTTCTTAACAGGTACCTTCTTAACAGGTACCATCACTGGGTCCAAGGCCTGGGTGCTTACCTATCCCTCAGTGTCTTCATCTCTGCTGTATGTTGACCCCATCACTCTGGCTCTATCTTCTTGGAAAGGCCCTGTCATTCCATAGATGTCTGGTCAGCTCTAGGGCAGAAGGGGAAATGGGAAGAACTCTTCTAGCAGCAGGAGAAGTGAGAGAAATGATCAACAATGCTAAGAGACTGTTCATATCAGCAGTAAGCAGACAGGCTTCTCTTAAGGGCTTGGGCTCCTGGAGCAAATTCAGCAAAGTGAACAGTGTTTCCCTTGGCCCTCCAGTCATACAGCTCAATTCTGTGCCCACATCACCTTGCGGAAGAAATAACTGTTCTAACCAACTGTTCAATACACTAGGGGTCCTCCACAACCGGGCCCCTCATCTGCCACTTCATGGAGAGCAGGGTTCCAGACTTTCTCCCTGAAATTCTCAGAAGGAACGCTCAGGATGGACACATTTTCCTCTTCCTCTGTTGCAAGAGCAGAGCTATTTTAGTATTGTCTCTTGGTTGCACCTGACTCTCCTCTTCCAGTAAGGTGTTGAAAAGCTCAGTGTCCCAGTTCTACTCTCACACTGTCTGGCAACTCTGCCTCGGAGAAGTCCCGTGTTGACCAGTCTCCTTGTTGCCTGGCTTATGATATAATTAGAAAATATACATACACATGTGCGCACGCATATATATTTGCTATGAAATTGAAGTCACCTTTCACCTCTGCTTTCCTGATCATTCATTAAAGAAATTCTTTTTTAAAAAAAATATTATTCTTTCTCTAAAATATTTGCATAGTATTCAAAAATACATTTTAAAAATTTGAATAGCAAGCTTTTCCTGATTTTAAAAACACAAAGATGCATTCAGTGAAATATTTTATGATAAGACTAGCCAATTAGCTCAGTTGGGTTAGCCCAGTTGGTTACAACGTGGTGCTGATAACACCAAGGTTCAAGATTTGATCGCTGTACCAGCCAGCTGCCAAAAGAAAAAAAAATTGTAATATTTTTTTCTAAAATACCCCTAAATTTGTAATTGGTCTTCTCTTATTCTTTATTCCTTAAACATTGTTGGCTTGCATGGACCATATGAAGGCCACCACTTAAATGGTTGTATTAAACTAACATCTAGACAAATTTTTGAATCTATTTAACTGTGGATATTTTGACCTAATTCTTTTATTTTTAAGGCACTCATGGTTCCTAATCCAAAAAAGACCCACTAAAGATACGTGAATAACAAAACCTATTCAAGTAGCCCTGTGGCCTGAAGTGAATAAATTTTAAGACACATCAACTGTTTGGTAATTTGTTTGGGGAAAATGTCAGTGGAAATGGGGAGGGGGTCCCGTAGAAAAGAATGGATTGTGCTGCTGTATTTTTGACTGTGTTCTGATGATGTCTATCTTGTGCTATAAAGTCACACGTTGTGGTCTGTTTTGTTCTCTGCAGCAGGACTAAAATCCCAGACCCAGCCTGCTTTTATAAACGTCAATTCTAAACGGACTTGCTAATTTTTTCTCCAACACCAGTCTTGTGGGTGGAGGACATAAGAAAGTCATTTGTCTGTATTTGTGAGAAGTGACAAGTTTTTGATAGTCAGGACTAAAATCCCAGACCCAGCCTGCTTTTATAAACGTCAATTCTAAACGGACTTGCTAACTTTTTCTCCAACACCAGTCTTGTGGGTGGAGGACATAAGAAAGTCATTTGTCTGTATTTGTGAGAAGTGACAAGTTTTTGATAGCTTAACAGGACATGGTGGGCATAGTGCAATGCCTATACTAACTTCTGCCTTCATGCTATGAAAGAGAAAGAAATGGTAACTCTGAAAGCCGAGTTCAGCAGGAGGGTAAGTGGAGAAGAGCAGTCACTGGGAAGGGTGAGTACACGAGTAATAGGAGCAGGTCAGCTGGAGCGGGACAGAGATGTGGCGGCCAGAGGGCAAACCTGCACAGAGAAAGTGACCTCTTCACACCTCTGACAAATGCCGGAGAGGCAGCGCCACCTGTTTATGCTGGATGGTTGAGGGATTAGCCGGATTTTATTTTAGCAGCAGGAGAAGCCAGTGGAAAACCAAAGTCTCTCTGGGAAGGGACTTTCCGCAACTGAAGGAGATCACTGAGCCAGCCCCTTGGAACAAAGAAAGTGGCAGCTGCTTCGTTTGTAACTCCACGCACCCACCAGAATGTTCTGTGGGGTCACAAAATGCATGTGTTGGTAAATCACAAAATACTCCAGTGTTTCTCATTCTGGGTGGTAGTCTCTCTGTCTAAAACTTGGGGGAAAGGGAGGAACAAAGATAAACATTCTTTATAGAAGGAATAGTGGAGTCTGAGAAGGGTTCTAGAGTCAGACTTTAGTCCACACATGTCCACCCACTTAGTGAGCTTGGGCAAGTCGCTGAAACTCTGATCTCAGGTAGCACATCTCCGTGACAAGGGTGGAGATGGGAGGGCACCAGGAGCAGTGCCTGAGCCCCACAAGGAGGCAGGGCCAGGGCAGACCGGGTGGGCAGCTGGGCTGGGATCTCTCTCCTCTGGGGCTCTCCATCAAAACCAGCTGCTCTGTTTCCCAACTCACTCCAGCAGGCCCTGCGGGGCTTGGGAGGACTCCTCACCTTCAGAGACACTGCCCAGAGTTGTCTGGCCTCAGGTCCTCAGCCCCTCCTTGCCTTTACTGCTGCATTTCACTGCCTCTGGCCTTTGGTGCGCCTACTCCAACTCAGATGAAGAAATGCTGCCAAAGCTAGGGCCAAGTGGACAGTCTGTCTGTGTATAACGTCACACCTCATTACTGCTGTCTCTGCCCTGGGAATCTCAAAGGAAAAAAACTAGATTTTTCTATTACAACCATGGTTCAGAGTGTTCCCCACCCTCCCCATCTGCATCATCAAGTGCTCTGTGGGGCAGGCCTGGATGCTCAGCCCCTGTGGGGAGGGAGCTGCAGCCTGCAGGTGACAAAATGGGTCCCAGAAAGAGGAAGCGTGGGAGCAGTACTCAGGTTTTGAAATGACGACTATGACTCTAATGTCTCTGGTGAAACTAAGGAAAAGTGCTGTGAGCAAAGACACTATTTGCATGCCTGAAGCTATGTAAAGCCCTTGTGCCCCATGATTCGGACCAGCTCACAGTAGCTTTGTTTTGTTTCTGTTTTTGCTTTTGTTTAAAAAAACCCAACACTTTGGAGGAGACTAGATATATATTCACATGGCTAAATTTTAATGTCTCCTCAATATTAAGACACCATTGTCAACAAGGTTAAATGCCAACCTTAGGCCTAACACACATGAATTCAGGTAAGTCACAGATCAGCCTTCACCACCGTTTCCACAACACCATAGTAATAGAGTTTTAGCCTGGACAGGACTCCTCTGTAACAAGAGACCCCTACTTGATGAACTCCCAGGGGGCATTTTTTACATTACGGTTTTCCTGAAGTGTGGTCAAGCTCTTCTTACTGCAGTACAGAGCAGTGGGCACCATCATTCACACAGAATTACGCTGTTCTCCTCCAGTCTTAGAGAAATGGAGCTCTGCTCCTCCCTAAATATCTCTAGATTAGATTTCATCATTTTCCCTGAACCCTTAAATTTTCAAAAGTTGTTTGGCTCTATCCTACATCCTTTTGGCTGCCTTTAAGTCCCTGTCATCTAAGGCTTATCCATTTCATTGGAAATGAACAATAGCTGACCACTATATTTTGACATAGAATGACCTTGAAGTCATATTACATTTCAGTCAAGTGCTAAATAAAATTTGGGTGTCCCGCCTCCTGTCACAGCATTATAGTTATGATTTAGAAAATAGAAGTGTTTTTTGTTGTTGTTGTTTTGGCAACTAGTTGTTAGAGAGATCCAAACCCTTGACCTTGGTGTTACCAACACCCTGCTTTAACCAACTGAACTAATTGGCCAGCCCAGAAAATAGCAGATTTAAACAGTGAAGGATTTTCAAATTAGGTCAGGAGAAATCTGATATACAATCCCAGCATGGCTAGCTCCTGGGCCCCCACTTTATATTTACTCTAAATTTTGACCTTTTTTTTGTGAATTAAGCCTCTAAGTCCTTTAAACAGAAGATTATTCAAAATAATTTTTTTTGTGTGTGACCGGTAAGGGTGTTGCCTGCACTGCACTCAGCCAGTGAGCGCACCGGCCAGTCCTATATAGGATCCGAACCCGCCGCTGCGCTCCCAGCGCCGCACTCTCCCGAGTGCGCCACGGGGCCAGCCCAAAAATAATTTTTAAAACTCTTTCTTTTAGGGTGCTGAAATATTGCCATCAGAGAAAGAAGTTAATTAGCATTTTATGATTTTTGTGACATTGTTTATCTGAGCCTTTCACAAGGCATCCTGATACTAGGCAGGCCCCTCCCAGGAAACAGGATAAATTCAGGTAAGAGGTTTACTCTGCTAGAACAATGTAGTAACTATGCAAATGCAGCATTAAGAAGAAAGAAAACTGTGACGAGGCAAGAATAAGAAAGGTAAACCCAGAAGACCACATGGAGACTCAGTTGAAGGTCAGGTTCAAGCACTAGTGTTCTTTGAAAGTCTAAAGGGGAAGGGAACATCTGAGATTTCAGCCTCAACCATCCCTTAAAGCTATAAATGTGGAATGGGGCTTTAAACAAGAGAGTAAATGAGACTGGATTGCGATGTGGAGGGAAAGATAGCTGCTGCTTTGAGTAATGAAAGCCAAGGGGTAAACTAGAAGAAAATGAACATCGTTTCACTTCACGAAAGCGTGGGTCAGTAGTGTTGGTGGCACAGGTAATGGGTAGAGCCTACAAAATGCCATTTTAGTGAGAACTTGGAGAAAAGGGGTGGGAACCAAAGGAGGAGGGACAGACTTTTGATGTGGGTGGGTTTGTGGGTCTGATTTTGTTTGTTTTCAGGCAGACTGAAAACAAAAAGAAAGAGACCCTGGGGGTCCACGGAGCTAAGCCTATAGTATTTCAAAACATCATATTTGGAGTAACAGGGAAGCTTACATCTTGTTGGACTGTTAAAGCCTGGCCTATTATGCCCAGAGGAGGAGAATAACTGTTCTTCTCAGATAAAAGGGGAGAATTCAGAAAAATAAAAGAAATGCTTTGAACTGACAACTTCAAATATTTTAGAAGAAAAATGAAAGTCCTAGTTCTAAACCCAACAGAGAACAGATATCTAGAGAGGGGGATGGTTGGGAGTAGGGATCATTTCAATGCATCCTTGAAGAAACAAAAACAGCTCCATCTCCTTAACTCTCAGAGTTGGGTCACAACAACGCGTCTCTGCTAGAGGACAAGCATGGGATCGAGGTTCTCAGTCTGCTCTTTTAGTGGGATCTTACTATGGGAAACTTTTGTCCTCAATTCCCATCTCCAACTTCTAGAACACTAAAGTTGGCAGAACTGATGATTAAAACAGTAAACAGTCATCATCAGGCATTCTGCCAAGGGTATTATATATGTTACCAAATCCAAAGACATTAGAAAAGCCCCCTAAGAAGTCAGTACTATTACTATTATCTCCATTTCCCAGATGGAGAAACTGAAACTTAGAGAAGTCACTGTTCACTGGCTGAAGTAAATGGTTCAGTAAATGGACTAGTAGTCAGAAATGAGTAGTTCAGGTAACAAAGCCAGAGGAAGGAAAGACATTCTGCTGCAATGAAGATTCGACTTTTACTTGTGCATGTGTCCATACATGCAAAACACACAGCCTAAAATTATGTAACTATTAAATGTACTAACAAAAGGAGAAGGTGTTTTCA